CTTCGCAAGCCTTCTGAATTAAATATTAAGATAATTACAGCCTTAGAAGATACTCATGTATTATAATAAGTTACCTAGGCATTTCTGGCTTAAACCTAATATCCTGTATTGGAGCCCCTAAAGAGTCTTCCTCCTCTTCTGAAGTAAAGTCGAATCAAAAACATTTGATGGATCCAGCAAACAAAAAAAAAACTCGAAAATTTTAACGTTGTCAGCTTCAGGGGATGTTGCTACCATATCGAGGTGGACTTGGGCGGGTTTCTTTCCTGCGCATGACGAATCTCGCCCTATGTTCTGCGCCACCTAAAGAATTCGAATATAGCATGAATACGGTTATGTAAAGTACCTCGTACATGCCGATTTCCTTTTCTTCGTTACATTTGCCGGGAGAACATACGTGTTGTATGCTACAGGGATCAGTCAAAAATACGTTTCCGATAACCTTAAACTGAAGTTATGGAAGGTTCCAAGAATTTATTTCGAGTCTCTTCACCCACTTTAATGAGTTGTGCTGGTCCCCCATCACAACCTCTTCTTCGGGCAGTGAGCACACAGCACATGAAGCCTTCACTCTGTTGCCTGTGTACTTCCTGTAGAATTTGAGTGAACGTGTTGTGCCTGGAATCCGGCAAATTAGTACGTGATGCGTCTCTCCCTTGCTTACCTGCCTTTCGCCAACATATGTTTGAATTTGGGTGTGCTCGGATTTGAGGTAGCTGTTGCTGCCCCTAGGGTTTCTGAATACGAAGGGTCTTGGTTCACAGAGCTCACAGTGCTTTCAGGTGATGAGGACAAATAAAAGGAAGACGGAGCTAAGGCACCCGAGGGAACAGAAAGGGAAGTTGGAAGTGGTGGAAGGGGGAAGTGCATAGAGTACAGGTGGTGCAGGGTATTGTGGTGGACTAGCTAAATACAGGGATCCCAGGAGAAAAGAGCAACAGGAGCGGCTAACCCTGAGATAAAGCGGAGAAGGCGCTGTGGTCGAATTCAGAGTAGTACAAGTGAGACATCGTGCTCATGCGATGACAAACACAGTACAGAAGTAATTTATGATGCTTTCATCCTTATGTTTGATACCTTCGCTGACCTACTAGAGGTGTCCAAAGAAACCCTTACAAGGTGTCGGAAAAAGTGCGAAAGGTCACTCTCCGTTAACAAGTTTGTCTGCATGCTTCTCGGAAAACTGAATGTTTTCCGCAATTCGATGAAATCATTTGCTCTTTGCTATGATGTTTCCGATGGTTGCTTCCACAGTTTTCTGTGTGACCTTATTTATGTGTTGCTTTTTTTTTGTTTTGCTTTATTTTATTTCTCATGCTTTGAATATGACGAAGTTCCTCAATCACACAACCGCTAGAATTACTCTTGCGTATGGTCAGCAGCCAACCAATTAAACGGTCATCTCATAGGCAAGTGAGTGGATGGGCGACGAAGGTGCGAAGTAGATTTGAAACTAAATGACTCACCTCATTCTTCTCCATCTTTCTGGTCTCATTCTCGTCCAGCCCCTTTTTTANGATTTTTTCGAAGCCTAATAACTCTGGAAACACCGATTCACGCACTTTTTTCGCTTTCACTATTTGCACCATTTTCCATCTTATCTTCCATTTTCCGTCATAATCTGGATTACCCAGAATTATCGTGAACTGTGCAAATCAATGAACGTCCTTTATGATTTGCAGCCGATAATTCCAACTTTTCGATTAACCTTCGAATCTATGTTGAGCAGATGTGCGATTCCGCAAACAATATCCCGGTTACTATTATCAAGTACAGATGTGCCAAATTGAAAGTCTAAACGATAAAGTCTTTTGGGGTTAATTCCATGCGCCCACGTATTCTACTACCTTTTGGAATCGTAGCGGCATGTTGAATGCGTATGTAGCCTCTACAATGACTTGCGGTGGCCAGCCGACGTACAACTTTTGCTTTGCGGATGCTTTTTAACCTCCCAGACGAGTCTGGTACCATTTGAGTGACTTCGGCGGGATGAAGAGCTTGGCTGGCTTAGACGATTTGCCGAATTAGTGCTACATAACTAATGAAGTTGAGACCACTTGAGACCACAAATTTCACGGGAAAGCTCTTTGCAAATATACAGACACACTTAGCGACTACGTTCTTTTTCGGTAAACGAACGATGTTTGGGTAGTCCGATGAATGAATAAGGTCACTCCTTATTTTCACTGGTGGCATCACATTGCAGTGTGGATACAAGGCAGCGTAGTTCTGTCACAATATGGCAAACACTGGGGATCATTTTATCATCATCGGATCATTTTATTGACAAGTATCGTTCAGACAAGAAGAGTTGTGAAATTCATTCCGTGAAGGTTGAACGAAAAAGGCATTGGCGAACGCGATGACTAGCGAATCTTGAGAGAGCGTGAAATCTAGCATAACAAAAAAAAACCCATTCCAAAGAATTCCCGTTTTGATCCCTGATTTGGGTGATTCCCGATGGACTGAACTGATGCAAAGGCCATTTCACTCTAACTGCGTGTCTAGTGGCGGACTGATTGAATCAGGTGGGGAACAATGCAGTCGAGAAACTGTGAATCTTGTATTATCTGCGCTCCCGTTGATTTTCAATTACTCGAGCGCCAGTGGCGTCTCCATTAGTCTCTGCCGCAGTCCAAAGTTGTCCAATGAATCGTCCCCGCTCGAGGGACAAGAGGCATAGCACTTTTTGCGTTCGAAGCGTTCTTTTTGCAATCTGTGACCATCGCACTGACGGCCGTACTGATGTTTATTCTCGAGAGATCCGGTCAATAACTACCCTGGTCCAACGATCACCACAATATCCACCTCATCTTCGAGTTCTTGGAGTCAGCAACATCATCCGTAATGTTCCTCCGTTGACAGAACTCAGAACTCCGAATTATATTCTGCATTAGCGTAAATAGAGAAATTCCGAACATCTCTTTTTCACACTGCGTTGAAGAATGGTTACTGCATGCTCATCCTGCTTTCGTAGAGTACAGATCTTCAGGAGCTACGTCAAAGCAGGAAGGATCGCAGTGTTGAAAAAGTGAAAGCGACGTCGGATGTTCTGTCTCCTACACTACTCGATATTCTAAAACACTCTAAATGCCATGATTTCCTTCAGCTCAGCTCCGGTGCTGGTCGTTCATCATGCTGACTTTCGGCTTTAATACACGTAGTTGAAGCATTCAGAGATGTTTGTTCCATTCAGCGTGAAAGGAGCATCAGGCATCGTTCCGTTACGCATGAGCATAGCCTTCGGTAGGTTGAGTCGGAATCCAATCATTCCACAAATGCTGTCATATTCGGTCAGCATTCGTTCGCTTGCTCAATGCTTGATGTTTAGAGAACGATGTTGCCTGCAAGCGGACATAATGTAAGTAGTGACCACCGACCTTCCTTCCAGTCTTTCCTATTGCGAATGTCGCATAATGTTCTCGAAAAAATCTTCTGAAAATCTTGGTCGAGACGGTATGCCCCGCCGAATCCTCCCATCACGTCGACAACGACTGCTTAACAGAATGGCAAAATCTTTTTCGTGACGTCGTCATTGAGCTACCGAAGCATCCCACTATAGGTAATGCGATGAGTGTATGTGTGATTGAGAGACAAAAAAATCATATGAGTGTATGTGTGATTGAGGGACAAAAAATCATAACTGCTGTTTCCGTGGACCTAGAGAGTTCAAATTTGCTAGGGGAACAAGCGGCAGGATGGAAAACAGATGGCAGGTGGCAGAACCAAACTCCTTCACTGGAGCAGGAGCATGCGCGAAAATTTGTGTCTTAAGGGAAATTAATGACTCCACTTTCTCAAGACTCAGAATTTGGTAGGAGTATCGGTGGCAGGATAGGAACACTGATGGTAAGTGGCAGGACTGGCTCCTACTCAACAGCGCTAGTGTAAATATCGGCTTAATACCAAACTTAACAAAGATGATGTTTATGAGAAACGGATCGATACATATTACACTCTTTACGCTAAACGGAACGAGTATATCCGATGCTCTAGCTACAAGTATCCAGGTAGAGATTCCAACTTAATGAACGACCTAGCCCCAGATCAGAGCAGAAGAGAACGCGTGGCGTGGGAAGCACCAAAAATATTGAGGGAGTAGTGAAGAAGACAGATACTACTAGTTTCCGCGCTAGCTTTCTGGACACTGTTGCCTTCCTCAGTGACGTACACCTCGGAGACTTGGACTCTGCGAGGGCAAGATGAACATGCCTTATGCTTTCAGCGTCATTCAACGAGTTTCGGAAAGGGCGATGCTCGAAATTTCCCTGTAAATGCAGAAGGGAATTTGGAGTTCTGAGCTTCGGCAACGAACGAAGACTAGAGGCCTGCTTTCGCGAAGAAATCGAAGATTGATCACATGCCAGAAACATTATGCGATGTCTGGTGACCGTAGGACAAGGGCGTTCACTGGCTGAATCAATCGGGACGTCAAACAAGCACGAGAACGGCCGCCAGCGACATGGTCAGGCTTTCTCACAAGAGCCCTACACGAAAGGGATGCTGTGCTTCGCGTTCCTAGGGCGAGGACGACCACATGGAACACTCTGATTTGCGACAACGACGAATGGGGACGTTACTGGCGTTTGCTCAAGAAAATCGATGATCAACCGGACGACAAGTTAAAGGTGACAAATGATACAATACAAATGGAAGTGTGATGAATGAAAAGACAAGAAGCCAATGCAATAAACAGTATTCGGCGAAGCACTATTCTGGTTGTAGTTTTTTTTTTGACAAAAAGAATGTTGCCTGTGAATGTTTTTCAGATCAGGCAACGTACTGTAGCGCCGAGAGAACAGGTAGACCTCCCTACTCTCTCTGCTGCTAAATAAGGTAGGCGGATCAGGCACCGTTTCAAATTGACGTTCATCTCACTGCAGGCGGCATTGCAGTGGAATAAAATGATAGTGATATGAGCAACACTAGTCGGTGAACTGCAGGGGAACTGAACTGAACTGAACACCTGAATGCTCCCGAAGGGGGTTTTCAAACGAAACAAGCTTACTTGCTTTCGGTGGATAAGAATAAAATTTCACGTAAAAAGCAAGTCTATCCTCGGAAGGATGATATACAATGAATACAACGTTCCTCACGTGAGAGATCCAAATTTTCCCTGACCTGAGCCCAATATAGAGCGAATGGAAAGCAGCTTGGAAGACAACCCTCGAAGACACCAACCGTGACCAGTGTGAAAGTCGTTCAATAGTACGGAAGGAAGATGTCACCGACCACAAACCAGAAGCTGAACTAACCTTCTCGCTGTTGCTGTCATTAAGAATCATAATTTCCTCACTAAACCCTAGTGCTTTAGCGTTTCCTATGTGTTTATTTTGCAAACGAATGGTTTTCCTTCAGCTTTTTATCTCCATCTTACTGGTATTGACAGTGAGACACCTTCCGATTGATTATAGTGGAAAGCCGGTATCATAATTTGGCTTAGCACACTGATTTGACGTACTCCTACTCGGCTTATGACAGAAAAAAATGGTTTCATTGAGATGCTGAGCACTACTGTTGTTAACGTGGACTTTATGCCACATCGTAGAGCGCTGGAGGAAATTGCAGAAGATCCAGAGTAAATAAAAGATGACCTGCACACCATGAACATCATATTCACCATATTCTTCACACAACAATTCCCACAGGTGTCGGCTTTTCCGACTTTAGCAGAATTGTACAAACGGAGAATTTCTGAACGTGAAAAATTTCACGAAGATTAGTAACAGACTTATTATTCAATTCGAGAACAGATTGACAAGTGGTGGAAAACAGAAGACTACCTAGTTGGTCTCTGTCTCACTAGTATCAATACTTTCTTCAAATTTCACCAACCGGTATATCTTGACAAGAACATGAGCAATGAGCCAACTAAAAGATCAACAAGTTTATCTACATGGAGACATCTTGAATGATTCACTGAGTGCTCTTCTACTGAAGTACGATCAACTCGACATTGCTGCGTTTTTGAATAACTACATAAACACATTTCGCACAAAGCATGTGACTATAACCGCGACCGTGAAAAGCATACACGTTGAAATATGGAAGTTTAGTGTACGTTGCCTCTCATCGTAATTTACTCTCGATTAACAGTCGCAACACAATAAACAAATCCCTTCTAGCTTATATGGTAAGTATGTGCACGCAGTATGGGGATTTTGGTCAGAATGAATTAGGATTAATAGCAAACTTAAGGTTCCGGGCAGTTCGAAATGCTCCTGAATTTTTGAACCCACAGATCAATTTCATTCTATCTAACAGGGTTCCTCTAAAAGGATATCAAGTTCGTACAAATCCTATGACGAAAATGAGACAAAAAGTGCAAGAGTAGAATTTATCGGTGAAAAACTGAATATGAGATTTAATCTTACATACATCAGGAACTTATGTGCATGGACTTCGCTTGCTTACCTCAAGAAACTACGGAAGGCAGTTAGCTCTATAGGACTGATCTTATAAAAAAGATATACAGATACAGATAGAGAGATCAAAATTAATGATTAATTCGTATCCGTACCACCAAGAGTAGTATTGGAGCTGGTACCATCATTGCAATCCTCGCCGACAGGAGTTTGCTGTAGCTGCTTTATCACGATTGATAAAACCTCAATCACATCATTTGCCTCTTGAAGTTGCTGCTCCAAATCGAGAAGAGTAAAACGCTTCTAAACATGATATGCGAACATCGATCAAAACGAGAAAAGGCGAAAATTTAACTAAGTGACGTCACATTATGAAAGCAAGAGCAAATACCTCAACCACCTCCGCTGCGAGTCGTTCACAATTACGATTTAGCTCATCTACACTCATTGTGTTAGAGTCCATTGTATGGATGAGTTCATGTGTTTCCTCGTGTTCTGGAAGCGTTACACAACGAGGGATCCGAAACACGTATTTGAGCGCACGATCCTTCAAAAGAACATCTCGTCTTTCATTACGGAGTCAGTTTATTGGTAATATCAGATCGTGTCTTAATGGTAATATCAGACCGAGTCGATAGTTCTCGTGCATTTCGATAGCAGGGGAAAATTTCAAAAAAGAGTAACTGAGCAAAGAGCTACTAGAATTAACACAAGTGCTTCGTTGGACAGAACCGAAAAGGTGTATGATGACGAGTGCGAAAGAGTTTGAGTCGTACTTGTTGCGGAGCGAGGTAAAAGCAGATCTGTATCAAACCCTCCGCGAAACTGATATTACTTTAGAGTGAGCCGATTGAAGTCCATTGCTAGAAATTTGATCCATAGGTATCTCAGGCTCTGACTCAGTATGACATCGGCTGCCGATACGGCATTCCCTCTCTTCATGTTCCAGCGCAAGCGCAAATGGCACAGCACATGGTAACAATTCGAAAACAGTGTGTACGTGGAAAGCGTCCCCAAACTCAACGTACGTCAAAAAGCGTTACACTTTACATCTGACGGTGGTCATTAATTTTGGTAGATTCTTTCCGAAGAATGCAGTGCGACCCCAGGCTTCTTGGACTGGGCAACTGGAGAATTTGAAGGCCAAATTAATACAGCTCAGCCGCGGCAATGCGATCTTTTTCCCAGCACGCCAACACCTGACCCCACATTGCGAGAACAACTAAATCTGAACTGAAGTTCAGAAAGGCTATTCTGCCACACCCATCATATTCTCAGATCTGACTGATTCGGATTATAACCTTTCCCATATCCAAAGTCATCTAGGTACGGGTGGGGCCTCGCAATCGACTTGCATTCATGAACGTAAAAGCGTACTGATATAACTCTACAATGACTTCTGGTCGTCAACCGATGTGCAAGACAGTGCTTTCATTCTGATGGATGAGACTGGTACCAATAAAATGATGGAAAAGCCGTTCGGCTTGGGCGGACATCGATCCCGAATTTGGTCCCCGGCCCATGCTCGCTTTACAGTGTACAACTCTCCGCTACACCACCTCCGCCCATACCCACAAGTGCCGGTTTGAAATGAAGGATAACCAAAGTTATTGGCAAACTGTCCGAGAACTTCCGACTGGACCCTAATGAAAGGATGTGATAATAAAAAGGTCCTAAAACAGTAGAGGTAACCAACACAAAGTACCAACTCAAACAATCAAAAATGGGCGAGGAAAACTCACCGTGAATACTTCAAATGCTTTTTTCACTTCTTTTCTACGGAAAATCATTGCCATTACCGCGCTCAAAAACCTCTTATCATTCGCCACCTGAAGGCTCAGCAATTATATGCGAAGACAGAAAAACTACAACGGCACCTGTGGGAGTGAAGTGGCCAGCACTTCCTTGACTGCTTCCTGCCATGACTGCACAGCGATATTATAGACTGCAAAGCAAAGTAGAAAAAAGCCTTTGCGAAATAAAGGGAAGCAGCGAAAAGCAACGTCATTTGTAACAGATGAAACATTATGCCTACCAGAATCAGTGAATCCCACTGGAGAAAAACCGTAGTATTGATATTCAAACTCATTCACAAGTTCAGCATGAGAAACATCCATTTGAACTTTTCCTCTACTGAATCACAGAAATGACAGAAAAGAAAGTAACTGCGCAACAACTCCATAATGTAACACCTGGAGGAAGACCAGTAAAGCATGGCTGAGAGCGGAATAAAAACCTGTATTTGTATTCACCGCGAACTCTTCACGGGGTATTTGAGAGTGAATGCGTAACAAAGGTCTCGAATACAAAAAAACAATCAATGTGGTTGAGGGTGACCAGTGATTTTCGACCGCTGTTTCACATAAGCACAAAGAAAGGCATGGTAAAATGAAAATGGAAAACTAGATCAATTCCAACAAAGCTGATCTTCGCCACTCAAGAAGCTACTCGTAGTATACGTACAAAGAAACGAGGCTGCCTTCTCAGAGTTTTTCTGAAAAAGTGCTAATTCATCTATGCACAAGCGCAGATATGCCTTTGATTGTCTACCTGTACCTGATCCGGCTCATTAATGACCGGCTCAAAGTCGGTCTTATCCTCGAGAAAGTGTAAGCGAGGTTCACGGGTCAGGTGAACGAATGCTTGAGCCACTAGCGACCCGCCAGATGAGTAGGAAGTCTCATGAGTCCATAAATCAGGTAGCCTTGAAGGGAGTTATCATGATTACACCAAAAATTATCATGCGAATATCTGCTACTAGTGAACCAGAACGATTGAGTGAACCAACTTTTCAATGAGACCTTGCTGGACATGAATCAACGACACCGCCTTCTCGTAGAACACTTTCGTGATATCAGTTATTGGACCAGCACTGTATTTGGCAATCACTGATCTGAAACGGAATCCAAGAGCCTTTCAATTTTATTACGTTTCGATAAGATTTCTTGAACTGAGCCAACCACGTAAGCACCAACAATTCGTAATCGTGCAAATGGAAAGCCTTACAACTATCCAAGTCACCCTTGAAAGTCGCGTGTCAACTCCATAGTAGAAATTTGAAATTTTCTACGCAAACAGTAAATTTCAAAGAGCTGACTAGGACCTTTTATTGAAGTTGACTCAATACTCATCCCAAGAAATGACCCTGTAAACTCAGTTGCAGCAGTAGCAACGTACGGTCTCGTAAATCAGCATTTATTTAGTTTAAGTATTCATGTCGTCTATGAGGTTGGTTGCAGGCTTTAAGCGAGGGTGCTGTGAGGTCTTTCAGAGCACTAAGATAAATATTGAGAATTTACTGCATATCATGAAGATGTGCTGCAAATTCTCATTATTTATCCAAGTGGTCTGAAAGACCTCACTTTCATAACAACAACATGTGCTACAAAGTCCTACAGAGAACAAACCTTGTCAAGGTGTTCAGTGTGTGATCGGGAAGAATTAGATAACGTTTCATCTCAAGCAGCGTCTGTAAAGCCAGGTGAAGAGGAAGAAGAGCTCTGGTTCTTTCCTCGAGCGAAACGTTGGGTTGTGGCTTCAAGTCCAGGTCGAGATCAGTTTCATTCGTCGTAAAACCCGCAGAGTTGTATGCTTGTACCATATCTCTGAATAAGCTCTATTTAGAGGGAGGAAAATTTTGAATACGACGTTCAACTATCAAATTAGTCTGTGGTGTGGCTACAATGGTAATCAATGAAGCACTCGTTCATTTAATAAAAACTACACAAAAGAAGATAATGGTACCATGATCAGAATTGTAAGTTTGTTAGGGAAGGTATATCTTATAATGTGCAGAGGCTTATTCAGATTATAGGCCGACAAATTCTGAAGTACTGCAGTAGCTAGCACGAGACACACCACTGAACCATACTAAAGACCACTTTGTACTCAGTAATGTCACATGGTATTATGGGAGAAAAAAAAACATGAGCAAAATGTAGGATGTTATGGTTCCTCCGAACGAAAAATGATACAACCCGTGCTCTACCTTCAGTTTGTAAACAAACTTGATCTATGAAACCGTCATCGTGCCAGGAAAAGATATGCAAATTCGCAATTCAGCAGCACAGAGTTATTGCATCCTAATGAAGGCAGCACTTTGACGATCGTGTTTTGAGGCTAATAAGAAAATTGTTTCAGGATGGGAGTATCAAGTCTCTCTGTCTGCCATTCTGCTCCATTCAGCTGATTTCATGAACACAACTGCTTCCTTTTCAGCCGAAATTATAAGAAGGAACAATGCTAGGGAATAAAACTAACCTTTTGAAACGTTCATATCCAATTTCAAGTAAAATCTGTATGGGGGTGAGGGCTTCCAAACGTGGAAGCATGAGATCCTGAGATTGCGCATCGCGTATCAGCCGCGCAATCGATGACTTGTTGTCTTCATGTAGCTGAAAAGGTATTCTTAAAAGGCGTCATTGACAAAAGTATGTCCGCTCAATAGAACACAACTCCGAAAAAGCCCTTACAACAGCATTGATACGACATTGTTTCAAAGCGTCGAATACAATATTTAGAGCAGCCACTAGAGTTTTGTAGTCTGGGCATTTCTTCAAAATATCCCACAGAAGTTCAGTGAAATCTACATGCCTGGAATATAAAATCGAACATACTACGATTGGATTTAGCATCGGTTTCTATAATCATGTATATGTGTATACGTACATACACATATGTAAGTATGCACGCATGCATAACTATAGAAATCGATGCTATGTGCGGATATTTGTGCGTCATGAAAGCCTTAAATTCTCTTCCTAAGTGAAAATAGAGAAAATATGGTCAGAAGTTCGCCAATACGGTGACAATGACGGTCATATAAACAACAAGTTAGGACCACCATAATATCAAATCATGACGGAGTGGAGGAGACTTTAGAGAACCTCGACAAAAGAAATTCGTTTCCAATCGTTATCGATTTCACTTAAGGTCTACTGACTAATTGTAAGTAACGAACATTGGCTGTGTCGCAGGAAAGGAGGGTTCGAATTAAATCAGGCAATGGCGTGATAAAAAAGTAGGGTAGCTTTTAAAATAAAAATTACCGAGTCCCATGAAGTGTACGCTCCGCATCACTGTTCTGAACCCTGTAGTGCGCTATGAGTTGCTTTACTTGATCGATTAAATCATCATATGTCTCTCTGTTCTGCGATGGCCACACCATTGTAGCGCCAGAATCCAGAACATTTGCCATCAACTAAATACCACAGCAATTCGCACAATTGTATAACAGGGTGTTTCCAGGGTTCAACGACGTGTGCTGTTGCAGCAGACGTGCGATCGACCTACAGAGTTGCTGGCCACGCGTTGACGACGCCGGACACCGATCGATACCGCTCACGCGGACTTGAGCACAATCTTCCTGCATTGTCAACGCGCGGCCAGCACAGCTTAGGTTGAAACAACGCACGTCGTTGAACTCGAAGCACCCAATTTCATTTAACTGTTAGTAGCAAAAACCGTTGAAAAAAAACAACCCTATCTCTTGAATTTACGAATACCCGAATACGTATTTCACTCGCCAACAAATACTCCAGGTGCTCAGTGGCTTCTAATAAAGCGACACGTTTGTCCTTCCAGCCAGGTGAAAAATGGAAAATCGCTGACGCTGATGGCGGTGGTGAACATAAGAAGCTTTCGGTCTAAACTCCAATCACTAAAAAAAGCTACCAATGTGGCAAACATTACCAGAAAAAACACCGCACCTTTGTATCCCATTTGAAGGTTAGGGTCATATCGGCGAGGCATCTTTTCGGTCCCCACGTGGGAGAAACATTGTTCCCCAAAATCTGAAGAAAACATAATTCGTTTAGGAAAACAACATGGTTCTGGAACTACTTACACTATAAAGGGCAAGAGCCTTGTCCTTCGCATCAAGACCATGTTTAAAGCGATTAGCAAGCACTTTAATAGCACGTTCACATTTTTCTCCAAAGCGACCTAAAAACAGCACACTGCTGAAAAACTAGGTTCTAGATGCAGGGATGAACTCTTACCCAAACATCTAGTATGGAACGTAGAGATTTTGGTGTTGGACAACTGGTGTCCAACAAATGCTGTCCCCAACTGATCTTTCGCATTTACAATTATCCAAACAGGCATTCCCGCGAATTGCTCGTTTAGTCCCGAAGAACAGTTCTTCCGCAAAAACCTGAAAACATTTCTAGTTGGCGTGCAGCAGATTTCTCACTCGTGACACTTCACATTTCGAAACTCAACCAGAACAGAAGCTATCGATAGCTGCTTTGTTAGTCATGGGATACTCGTAACTTAACGCGATAATTTCAAAAAGAGAGCTATTTCTCAATATCTGTGCCTCACACACTATGGGCAGACTGGAAGGGACCGACTTTCGCGTAATAGCAAACGGGTAAGCATCTTAACAACGTTACAAACTAATGAGTTAAATTGGAACAACAAGAACTAACAAGGTAGCACGTTTAGCAGCAAGACCCTACACATTATTCTTAGAATGCATGAGAGAACATATAAGATTGACAGTAACTACAACATACAACAAAATCTAAAACTGCTCATATAGTAGATCCTAAGCATTTGTAAAAAGCGCTTTGCAGACAAAAAAGAAAACGAAAATACTAGCACACGAGTGGTTGCAACGCTGGAAAGAAAGCCAGAAAGGTCAAGATGGTAGGAGTTCCGATCACGGTCATGAGCAATAGATAGTAAGTTCTCGGCATCTAAAGCAAACTCCCCTCCATAAAATTATTCTGAACTATTCACCCACAAATACCATAGAACGCAGTGTTCACAACCTTACTGCATCGAAGTCTCCAGACACTTAGTCTCCCTTGTGCCTAAATAAGAATGAAGAAGTTGCTGGTACCCATCATTGCAGATAATCGATGAACGGAACATCTATATAATGGTAATTCTTGACCGTCCGGAATGGGACAATATGTAGTATATTCAATGACTCAATTGGAAAATGACAGTGAAACATTTCACAGGGTTAGGGCTACTCGAATTAAACCGTGGACGTTAGTTAAGGATTGTCACTGAGGTAAAGTTACCTATTACGAAGACCAAAAGCCGTGGGTGCATCCAACGGATTGCAATCGAAGTAGTTTGTTGACACAATGGGACGATTTGCAGTTGATCCTGGCAATGAAACGTAACGTAATAGGAAACGGCTAAGCTAGGTAACGGAACGTTCACCCTTCTCGTCTGTTCCACATCGTCGTTCAAGTTTGGACAGCGATAGAAAATCGAAAACAAGTGGCCCATCTCCCATCTCGTCTGCATCTGTATCCATTCCATTATCTAACCTTTTATGCACCTCACCCACTGTTTCGGCGTTCCTGGTTTCCTGCTGGAAGGTAAATAGGAAGCTCCAAAAAGTTTTGAAGTCTTGCTAGATCTTTCTAAAGCAATATGTACGCTTGCATACTACGTTGTGATAAAAAAATGAAGCCCGTAACTGCTATCGGTAATATGAAAAAATTATACCTTTGCTTCTGATGGTAGGTCTACTACCACGATTTCTGGGTATCGGTTCCCATATAAATCAGCCAGAATTGGCACCTCTTCACTTTTGCACAATCGAATGCGAAATTTGCCAAACTGAACAAGAAGGTTACCAAAATCCGATTCAAATTGATTGTTAACAAGCAAATTAAAGAGAAGCGGCTGTCACAGTCGTTTTAAATTTCTTTTTTTTTTGGGCAGAAAACTTGGGCAGTTCGGGATGACGTCTACCATTCTGAAGAGGCTATCTTGATTGTAGGGGATGCAAATAAGAAGCATATAGCTACCAACTTTTCAGCTGTTCTAAGGGCTCAAGATGAAAACAGTAAATGAACAAGAAACTGCTTAAAATTAATACAAATACATACCAACAAAGAATCGCGAGAGTTTTCAGCAAAAGTGGAAGGTTGGGCTTTGACTTGCTCGCGGCCAATCACTTCAGTCATCTAAATAAAGCTCATGGGTAATGGATGATGAGCATGAGCAAAGTGTCTACGTAGAGATAAAACCAAGCACTATCAAAAAAGAAGAGCATGTGTGCCAACAGTTTACTCCACGCTAAACTTTCGGTACAATTACTTTATCGAAACTATCAGAAGAGCAATTTCAAACCCCATTAATTGGCGCCTTGTTCGAACCAGAGCGCGAGATTTGAAGGCATATTTTCTCATCCGAGGCATGACACTCAAATTGACGAAAAGAATTAATGGGGTCTGAGTTTCACGCTTGTTTCTCCTGATACTACTCAGAATTGTCACTGGGGAAGGTTATGGGTGACGTTTCGTATGCAGAAGAAGGCCGCTGATTTGAATGACTTGTAGCTTGACTCCTAATTGTAGCCTAGGCGGACAAGACGTTTTTTGGTCTGCGTTGAGTGCCTTTATAAAATTTTAAGCATTTATAACACAAGCATTTACAATGTGAATAAATAGTATATCTATCTCCGAAGTATTAGTTAAGTATCAACCAGTACGAAACACTAGTATTATTTCCCAAATTCAACGGAATTCCGTAATGTTTTGGAGAGGTGTTTACCTTCGTTTCTGTGATCACACAAGAATGGCATCGAAGAAAATGTTGGAATGTATCAGATAAATGTAATTTAGAGAGCGTAGTTTGTGATAAGGATGAGAAAATCGTTCTGCATCGACGATGACACCTTCTACTGTTAATATTATGTCAGAATATGTGATTGTCAAGAGGGCGATGTAGAAATTGAGAACACCACACCATTTTCACACATTGAGTTGTCATTACTAATGTGTTGCACGGTTTTGGGAGCGACACTACTCCTTCGTAACTAAAGTTTATGGAAAATATTTTAACAATGATCCTGAATGGTAAAAGTCTGGCGACCCAAACCCGCATGGGAACATTAGGTCATATTACCTGAGCTCCCTTCGCGATTTTTTCCTCATTGAAAGCTGGAAAGCACGCTGTTGCACACGTTCAAGGTTAGTAAGTGCTAATAGGGCGGATCCGTACTACAAAGTCGCATTCATTCTTACAGTAAGCACGCGCCCACAGTGGATCGTGCTTCACCTCTACTTCTGTGTAACACCAACAGTTTTTGGTACTTCTTTCTGTATATCGACTACATGAGGAGCTTCACTAATACAAGTTGAGTGGTGCTGAAGCTATCAAGAGACACACAAAAATGGTATGCATAGGATGGCCATACATCGGTATACATAGATTGATCTTAATCGTCATGGAATACGTTCACTGTGGACAGGGAGTGGGTCTGAATATAGGGATGAAAACGCCATGATTCAGGGCGGAGCAGCAGAAATGAAGGACTTAATCGAGTTAAGCCCTCTGTTTCTTCGTCCACGGCCGCAGTCCTACGGTGTAAGTGTGACGACACCATCAAACTTAACCTTGTCACCCTGATTACGATCTCGAGGAGCTGGCTTCCATGGGTGCCGCAAGAAAACTTGCTGATATCTCTCGATATTTTAAATTATAAAATTGGTTTATAAGAATTGACGTGAACTCTGTGTGTAGTCAAAAAGAATGGTGGTTAGCTGTTGAAACATCTTTTCACCATGCAGATTTGTAGAAAGTTGCCACAGTACCATATCATTTCCTTTTTGCAGGTACTGGTAACAGTGAAACCATCTCGCTCCACGAATTAAAGCGAGTGAAATAAACAAGCATAATGACTTCTGTTCACATTTACGAATTGCAACATAACGAAGTGACACGACTTTGCACGGTCGGATTACCCAGTACTTACACGACCGTGGCTCAAGTTCGCCGTTCAGCAACTCAAAACTAAATGCTATTTCATAAAATCAGTCGGATCGCTCAGCTTACGCTGGGCTTCATTCCTTATTTCTACCAAGTAGTTAGAAAATGTACTTAGGTGAGGGGGAGGGGAGGGGGGGGGGGGGGGGGGGGGGGGGGGGTATCGCATGCAACACTGAGGGCTAGGATGCAGAGGAGTGGTAGCAGACCTGACCTATATTAAGAAACGTTTCCAAGAATATGTTCTCAAACTAAGCCTCATGAGGGAGGGGGCGTCAAGGTAGAGGTGAGATTATTACTATTGCAAAAGCTGTAGGATGGGGTATGAGTTTAATATTCAATTGACTCACCCACTTCGGTACCCCTTCCCTAATGAAGCTCAGATCAAAAACTGTATGTTCTCGGCTAAGAAACGTTAATGAGCACAATTATGGGCTAACCTTGTTATGTTGAAGTTATGCTGAAAAAAGCGGAGGTCTCCCAACTACATTATCACCTCCAATTTTTGTAGACATACAAAGCACGATACCAGTGCATTCGAAACCAGCTTTGAAGTAAGCACCTCACTCCTCATTAGCCACTTCACTCCGCAGTGCCCACTCTACTACATTACCCTACCCACCAAGTTACTGCCTTACATATAAGAAGAAAGTGTAGAACAGAACTAATTCTTCATATCACTACCTTTATCGTAATCATAGTTTTGCAGACAGACATACCGACAAACCGACGCAGCAAGTTACTGCTTTATATATAGGAGAGTTACACTTCCGTACAGTAATGCTTCAAGACCGAAGAGATGCAGGCGGTCTTCATAGTTCAGTAAAGAACGTGTGTACGTCGGATCAGGATGATATCTTTACATTAAAATTTCGAAAACTTTGTTGAACCTTCTCAATTTTTGCCTGAAGGCTCTTGGTTTGAGGGACCCATATCTGTGGGCAGTATTCGAATACGGAAACAACCTATGCTCTATAGAGCCTTAAGAAAACACATGCTAAAGCTGTTTTCCAGTATATTCTGACTAAATTAATCAGTGGATCAAGGCTCAGATAACAAGTATCCGAGAACCACTGGTGTTTCAGTGGAACTCCGCAGGTGCCCCACTCAAAAGTTGTATGCCCGTAAGGGTTATTTAATAAAGCGGTGATCCATTTGAGAGCGCAGTTCACAGCAGGGAAAGTTCCTGAAAAATATCACCCAGATGAATCTGTGGCGTTTCTTTATACCGTAGGTGGAGCTGCCAGATCGGTGAATGGCCTAGGTAAATCGTTACAAGGGCTCAGATATTGCATCGGTTAAATGTCACAGCCCTGGTGGAAAGAATTTCAATGGTGTCGCGCCGTCGGGAGCGTCCCGCCGAGGCCAGTCCGCATCGGTGGTTGCTCGGCAGGGCGTCCCCGGCGGTGCGAGCTAGGTGACCAGGGTCTTCTGCCCGCTCGCCATGCTCGTATTGAACTGCCACACGGACTTGGTAGGCCTACGGCTGCCCCAGTCTCCCTTGCAGGCTCCTACGTGGATGGTACTGCCTCCGCAGTACGCTTCGGGGGTTACAAGCCCAGTGCCGAGCTCCCTCGGACACTGGGCTCTCGGTCCGACTAGGGCCTACGTGGTTACCCTCAGCGCTCAAGGATAACTGCGATATGACCGATGTTACTGACATCCTACGTATCACCTGCACACATATACGATATACATTTTATGATATACTACGTCGATACGATATGGATTATGAATACGAGTAAATGAATAAAGGCACTATGAAAATACTGTGAGGAAAATACTATGGAAAAATACTATGAAAAGAAAAGCAAATAAGTACACATTAATGAAACCACACTATAACCTACGGTCTGGGGGTACGATCCGATCCCAAGCTCACTCAGGTCCCATCCAAGCCTTCCCGCCTCCTTTCTGGCTACGCTGCATCCGGGTCCTTGATAGCAGTGGACCATCACTCCAGTTGTATCCATTCAGCTTCGATCCATGCAGCTTGTCACCACTTTAGAGATTGCATACGAGTGGTGCTGAGAGCTCATCGGGGGCTGCGTCGGTATTGCTGACGTTGAAGGCACAGGAATAGTCGAAAGTAGCCGTCTATGGCGTTGACACGATGGCGAATGAATGATGCAAACGCCGATAGTGGCTAGAGTCCGCCGCCACGTGGCAAACTGTAGCTCTCTGCAGCGCACGGTGCCTTCCCAGCGGGACTACGCGCGCGCCCAGGCGAGGCCGGCCTTTAAGTCGTCTGAACGGCACGACCAATGGCGTTGTGGAGGCTGCACTATCTCAAGGGACTCCCATGAAAGGAGTTCAACAACTGATCGCGGCCCGGCAAAGGAAGGCAGTTTTGGACAGCTTCGGCTCGGTGTAGTCAACTCTTTGCGTAATTGTAGTAACTGAAATCTGTCCGAATACTCCTTCCATGCCATTTTGATCATGGTAATCTCGTAGAGCCTCTATTTTACTACTTTTAGAAACCATTTTTCTCACATATTCGGCGAATTTTCTCGCTTTCTTCGTGGCCGATACACGTTTTCAACCAATACCTTCGCTTTTCCACTTGAAGAGGTACTCATTATCATGAACTAAGTCTTCAACAAGGATTTCAATGAAATGCCCTACAGCGCGTGACCAAATCCTTCAGCGTCTTTGCGCTACATATGATTGGTCTTCTGTAGAAATGAAGTGACATGTCTTATTCAAGGGCTTTGTACTGTTCAAATCAAGTGAACTTGCATATGAAACCACGTTCGATTCCAACCTCTGTTCAGTATAGGTTTTCTGTTTCTTTCTGACCGAAGCATTACACAGTAGCACTTGCATATATGTACATATACTTATTTACTTATGCGTTTGTATTGTTATAAGGCAATGGAGCAAAATCACAGTAATTAATGGTTAATATTAGTTTCAGAGGTTTGAAAGTAATGCAGGTAAGCAAGTGATCAGACGGATAACCAACGCACGCCCTCGCCTAAGTTTGTGGTTGACTGCAGACCACGCTTTTTGGTGGTCCCGCTCGACCTTCCTATTATTATAGGCCCCAAACTAGAACGTCGTCTCAGGTTGTCAGAGCGATAAGAAATGAGTATATCGACTTGGACGACGATACTCTGACTCTACATATTATCAACAGTAGACGGTTTCAGTCGACAATACAGAACGACCTGCTCCCCCTTTTCATTAACTGCGA